CACAAACCCGAACATTCCGATCATATGCTCTGTGATCCTCTCGGCCATTGCCGGCTTCACCATAATCGCCAACACCGTGAACATTCCGATCATATGCTCTGTGATCCTCTCGGCCATTGCCGGCTTCACCATAATCGCCAACACCGTGGTCATCACAGCCTTGGTCAGGTTCGGTAAAAACGTCGGCGGTGACGTCACAAGAAACAACGGCATCGCCACCATGTTGATGACGTCACTCGCCTTTGCCGATGGCCTCGTCGGAGTGCTGGTGATGCCCCTGGCATTGGCGGAGTTAATCAACAAAGGAAAGTGGGAGTTGGGCCAGAGGCTCTGTGTGGCTCGCCGTAACCTCAACAATATGTTGTCTTCGGTCTCCATATTCCACATAGCGTGTATGGCCATAGACAGATACATGGCCGTGTGTAAACCGTTGAAATACCAGGTGCTCACGACGAAGGTGGGGTTCGTTATCATTGGGACAGCCTGGTCGTTGCCAGTGGTTCTCATTCTGATGCCTACAATCAACGGCTGGAACCAGCGAGGGCAGGAAGATTTTGTTCGGGTTTTCGAGGCGAGTAAAGTTTGTATTCGAATCTACAATAAAATAGTTTTAAGCGTCTCGACTGTACTTTCCTTCTACGTTCCGTTGGCTGCTACGTATACTTTGTATTTCCTTATTATTCGCGACATTCAGAATTTCAGTAGGAGGCGAAATAATTATCTTAAAACGGGTTTCATTGAACCTTCCGGGAAAGGCTTGCCTAAAATTGCAGAAAGGGAATTCCCTGAAGCTTTCAAAATATCTGCAGTAGAACTGACTGCCTACAGGACTAAAGACACCCGAGTTGGGACCGACAGGTCCATTGAGAACATAGCGATTACAACTACGCCAAGAAGTAACCCAAAGCTCGACCGTCCGCACACCAACCAGAACTTGAAAGCCTACAGAACCATAGGCGCGATCTTGGTCTGTTTCACGATGTGTTGGCTGCCCCTTGGAGTCATCGTTGCGGCTTTAACTGTTATGGAATACACCGACTTGCCATTCTGGTTGGGCTTGATGCTCAATTGGATATCCATTACGAATTTCTGCTTTAAACCCTATTCTGTACTGTGGGAATAAATCTGTGAGACGGGCTGTCCTGTCTCTTATTTGCTCACTGAAGCCGTCAGCGATACAGCAACGATAAATTAGCGAAATATGGCTCACACGGTAATGAAAAAATTAAGAAGGAAAATAAATACACCACAGAGAACATATCGCCCGAATTTATTTCAATCAGAACATAAAAAGTCAATAGCACATAGGCAATGAAAAGGAATGTATTTCAATCAGAACATAAAAAGTCAATAGCACATAGGCAATGAAAAGGAATGTATTTCAATCAGAACATAAAAAGTCAATAGCACATAGGCAATGAAAAGGAATGTATTTCAATCAGAACATAAAAAGTCAATAGCACATAGGCAATGAAAAGGAATGTATTTCAATCAGAACATAAAAAGTCAATAGCACATAGGCAATGAAAAGGAATGTATTTCAATCAGAACATAAAAAGTCAATAGCACATAGGCAATGAAAAGGAATGTATTTCAATCAGAACATAAAAAGTCAATAGCACATAGGCAATGAAAAGGAATGTATTTCAATCAGAACATAAAAAGTCAATAGCACATAGGCAATGAAAAGGAAGAATAAAAGGAACTTATTTCATAGATTTTTGCATCAAATTTCAAGTTACAAGATATGTGAGATAATCATCATTGAGAATTGAAAGGAAAATATTTGATGCTTTTTTAATGGTTAAAATACCGAAAAATAATTGCTACGAATAAATGTTATTACTGTTCTTCATGAACTTTTTAATTATTTTCTTAGAAAATAATTACTAAAAATGCAAATAAATTAACATTTTCAAAAGCATGCAACTCATCTTGGTAAATGTTAATAACTTTGCCCTTTAAAGGCTTTATGATAATGTATTTGTTACTTTGAATTTAACGCCAAAAAAAAAAAACCAAACAGACAAAGCAACAACAACAACAACGCAAAACCAAAGTTACCAATTTAAACCACGCAGTTGAATTAGTGATGCTAACAAGACTTAGACAAATACAATAACAGCTTCAGTAATGGTCTGCCTGGAGAGGGGGGGGTGGGGGTGGGGCTTATTTCAATGTGCTTAGATACGCTTTTGAATGCAGCGTTTAAATGATCGCACACTAATGCACCGAGAAGCATCTATTAGTTGGTATGTAAATGGGGTTGCACACACATTTAGTGCAGCGGTTCTCAACCTGTGGGTCGCGACCCCTTTGGGGGTCGAACGACCCTTTCAGAGGGGTCGTCTAAGACCATCGGAAAACCCATATACCCAACAGTTATGAAGCAGCAACGATAAAAACAAATTTGGTTAGGGGTCGACACAACATGAGGCACTGTGTTAAAGGGTCGCGGCATTAGAAAGATTGAGAACCACTGCATTAGTGGGACGCGTGAAGGGGTTCAACCAGGTACTGCATGGTTTGTTTCAACACAGGGTAGGCTATTCTGTCTCTGCTCGGAGTTAAATCACGTGATAGAGTTGGTTGTCCTCCTGCGCAACCATTTGTTTGGTTGTTTCTGTGGCAACCGTTGTAAATGTAACACAGACAACGTTTTCAGCATACACTTCTGTCCATGATGTTTGAAAAAATCTATACCTGGGGGCAAGACACAAACCTGTCCCGAAATTTAAAAAAAAATTCTATTTTTATGTTCGAATGAAACAAGAAAATAAATATCATAATTGTTTTGTAAACTATAACTATAACTATAAAATTGTGATTGCATTGTAAAATAAGTCTAATTTAATTCCATTCTTAAGTTTTGGATTAAGCTGTGAGGCAGTTCAAGAGAAGAAGTGGATGGCAATAATATTAGACGTACACTTTATAAAACACAATTATATGTTGTTATTTTCCTAATTCCTTATCACGGCAGGGTTGTTATGTTTGTTATTTCTTTTGTAATATGCAGGTTTCTTTGATACCGAGGAACCTAACTTATTATTAAAACTAAAACACCAGGACAAAACATTTTTCCATGGTTTTGAAATCAGATGTCCTTCAAGGGTCATTGTTTTTTTTCTTCTTTCCCCAACTCTACTGCCAGACAAGGCCAGCAGCCATCTGTGCACATTGTAAGCGATGTTTATATAGAGGCTTCACTTGATCACCTTATAGTTATAGGTATTTTTGCTTGGTCACCTTATACTTTTAGAGATTTTTCCTAGTCATCTCATTGTTTTAGAGATGTTTCCTAAAATACGATAGTTTTAGAAATATGTCCTGGTCAGGTTAGAGTTTTAAGGATGTTTTCTTGTCCCCCCCCCCCCACCCCCAATATTTTTAGACTCCTTCCCTTGTTCACCTCACAGCCTTAGAAATGATTCCTGGTCACAATATATTTTGCAGAAGTTTCCTTTACACCTTATAGTTTTAGAAATATTTCGTTGATCACTTTATAGGTTTTCTTCACAGTTTGTTCATGAGGCTGTACGCAGTCTTAAACCACAACATGTACATTTCCGAACCTAGAATTAGGAGTCGTTGAAGGCAGATTCTTTTCTAATATATGTATTTTAAAAAAAAAATGTTTTAAGTGTTCTTCTAGAAGAAAAAAGTTAAAACAAATGGATGTTAAAACTTAAGTAATAAGAAACCATGAAATAGCAGGCAGCAGCATAATTAAGGGGCAGACAAAGTTATCCTTATACTCTTTTATATAACGTCGTGGTTGGGTTGTGGCAGAACTGTATCATAGATTTATATATTTTTACATTATTTAATGAATTAATTTTTTAAACATTTTCTTTTCTTCTTTTCGTTTTGTTTTGTGGGCCAGAAATGTAGAGCTTTCTTGGCAGTAGTCTTTAAAACCTCTCGGTTCTTCATGGCTAGATAGATAAATATACTTTTTATTTTAAATATACTTTCATGAAATTACACTTGGATCCTGTTTGATTAAAGTGTCCCATCGCTTAAATAGTTTTAAATATGTCCGTCAATGTGCGAGGATCTTGCAGGACGACCTCGCTTGGCCTGGGACTCTTGATCTTGCAGGACGACCTCGCTTGGCCTGGGTCTCTTGTTAAGTGTAATCTCAGGTTTGTTTATCATTGGTTATAGCGACAGGCCACTGATTACAAAAATACATATCTATAATTTTTACTGTCATGAAGATTGTTTTGCAAATATGATGGGCAATTTTGATATTCCAGTGGAATTTATTTTGTGTTTAGTCTTTTTTTTTTTTAATAATCAGCTTATTTTATGTGTACATTGCTGCTGTCAAGAAATATTTTTAAAAAGTTCTACAGCTTTCGTAGTTTTGTTAAACAGAATTTATATCTATATATGAAGTGCAATGTTTCAGAGAAATTTTTTGAAAGGCAGCGCAGAGACCCGTCTTGTTGTCATAGGAGACATCTCGCGATCTTTGTGTATCGCTACGCATGGATGATTTCAGGGACCTCAGTCATACCCATGAATTATTATTATTCCAATTAAAATGTTCGAAGACAACGAACTGATGTTACGTACCGTTGTATGGTTTTGTAAATGTATTGTTGGGCAATATGCAACAAAGGACTGAAAACCAGTGTACAAAGTAAAACGATACCAAAGATAGTGATAATAAAAAATTATATTTAATTGTATTATTAAATTCATGCAAAGAATGCAAAATCAAATAGACAGAAATTAAAACTACATCAACAGCAAATGAAAAATTACAAATTATTTAAATGCACATGCAAACACAAACAAAGAGTGCAATCTTTTAAGGCTGGTATAATTAAAGGATTTAGGTCTCGTACGTGTCTAGGAACTATTAACAACAAATAAAAATGTATATCAAAGAAACAATCTAGCAAAACGTATCAGATAATTTGTTAGTATGATTTATTGATTTAACAGACTATCCAAGAGTTAATCTGTCAGCACGTTTATCAAGAGGATTATCGCAGCATAGCTCTGACAGCGCGTCGCACCGACTTATTGAAACAGTAAATGACAGGGTTCAGTCCAGCGTTAGAATACGCCAGCCACAGTAAGCCTATCACGCCAATGATGGGCATGAAGTGCAGGTCGTAGATGAAAAGAAGAACGGTGATCCAAGTCGGTACCCAGCAAACGGTACAGCACACCACAATGCAACCAATGGTGCGGTACGCTTTCAGGCTCCTGTTGATCTTCTTGGACGAAGAAGAACTATCTTTTACATTGTTGCCGGGGACTGTTTCCATGGACGCCGCGCCATGTTTAGAAATGAAATGAATTTCGTTTTCGAGGCTTCTATCTGTGGGCCGGTTAGAAGTTACCCTTAAATCAGGTAGGTCTGAATATAACTCTGTTTGCGATTTCGAATATGTAACGTTGGAGCAGGAACTTTCTGATCGTGTTGATGTACCTGAATCCCTTGACGTAGTTGTTCTATTTTCGATGGAACTCGATGTAGTTTTATTGAAAGGTGCACTTTTAGTGAAAGATGTAGTTCTGTTAGCATTAGAAACTACATTCCTGGGATCTCGTTCATGGAACTGTTTTATTTCAATCAGAATCATCACGTAGAGAACATACGTTAGAAGAAGTGGTACGTAGAAGGCGAATGGGAATATTAAAAACAAAGCTGGAGTGTTGTAGATACTCCCACAAAGGTGGTTGATTTCATTGCAGTGAACTTTGTCCTCAACTCCAATGTGATGGAGGCCAGCAGCCTCTGGAAGAACGACTAGCACGGCAGGGAAACCCCAGGCCAGGAGCACCATCAGATAGGCATGACGGGATGTCAGTAACCTATACGTCATCGGCCTGCACACCGCCAGAAACCTGTCGACCGCCATGCACAGGACGTGGTACAGCGACACGGCGCACAGGAGGTTGTTCACGGCGAGACGGAATGTGCAGACCCGGCCTCCCAGCATCCACTTTCCGTTGTTGGAGATCTCCACGATGCCAAAAGTCATGACGATCGTCCCGGTCATGGTGTCGGAGAACGCTAGAGAAGACATGAGAATCCGAGTGATGACGCTGTTGTTGGTCGTGAGAATCCTCCCATCTCGGAGGATCGATCGAACCAAAGCTACGAGCATTGTCACGTTGGCCACGATCGTGAATGTGGTGATGATAGACGTGACCACGGTGGCGATGAATATAAGCTCCTGATGTGGGAAGAATAAATACTCGAATTCCGGAATTGTTAATTTCTGGACAATGCACTCTGATACATTCATCTCCAGCCAATTATGTAGAGAGTAATCTCCAAAGACAAGCTAATGCGATATAATATTTCTATTTCCAGGATGTGAAACTTTGAAATTTTTATTTTGAATTGTATGACATCTGTACTTTAAAGAATTAATAGTTATTAATTAAATTGTTCAATTAATACATACCAAAAACATCATTCAAATACAATGCAATAACTTTTCCAACTTTTGACATCAAAATTTTAAATAATTTTTGTCATTCATAGGATTTGAAAACCGACTGCCATATTTTCGAACAAAATTATTGTTCTGCTGTAATATATTTCCACACAATGCTTTATAAACGCTTTCATAGACTATCTAACTCAGAGTGGTTTTAAATTATTTGTGTCGCAAACGACCTGCAACAAATCGCGTTAGGGCAATTATTGGAATATGCATGTAATAGCCTCAAACTAACTGCACTAATGTGTTTGTCATACGATAAGATAAGTGAGTTCATGGCGTGACAAATTGTATATGCTCTGATAAAAAGAAATAATATCGTGACTGGCAGAGTCGTGTGCAATATTTGATTTACCAATTATTTAGTGAGGCGATATGATTTAAAACTTTATGTAAGAGACATTCATCCTGTCTAAATTTCAGGCCAAACATTTTTCACTACACCAGGGGTCGGCAAACTCAAGGATCTCGTCGTGGCCTGGGGACGGGATAGAAGATCTCGTTGGTCGTGTAGATTGTGTCAAATTTAACGTGGCGTACAAGTAATTTCTTAGTAACTTTCAAATGTTTAATTTTTTAAAAACAAACGCATATTTAAAGCATGTAAGACACATACGTTTCCCTGACGAAATGCAGCGTGAAGAATAATATTTTTAATTTTTTTTACATAGACAGATTATTCTTAATTTAATTGAGACTCCAAATAAATTAAAATTAGAAGAAAACAAATTTGAATTTAATAACTTTCCTTGTTCATACCATTTACAATGTTTGCAAGCGCTCAGCGTATATGGCTGCATTGTAAAGTAGATTTTTACATATTTAGGTGGTTACTTTTGGAAACGTAGGTGGTGACAAAAAGAATTTGACGAGCAAGGACTTTCAAACGATCTGATTGGTTACCTGGGAGTCACGTGTAGAAGTTCACTGCAGTTTCCCTCCTTTGCAGTGGCGTAGCTAGGGTTGGTGTCACCCGGTGCGGTAAACTCGTGGTGTCACTCACCCCTCCCCAACTTCCACGATGGATCTCTTCTAGTTAAAATAAGTCTACAGCATAGCAATAATAATAATAATAATAAAATTCATTTCTAAAACACGCTTCATCCACAAAGGCTCGAAGCGCGGTACAAAGTCAACAAAAAATAAACAAAAATTTACCACATTTAAAACAAACACAACACTACAAAAACTAATTACAAGCATACAATGGCAAAGTATTTCTAGCCATAACAATGACAAGAATAAAACAAATTAATGAAAGTTCAGGAGGTAAATGTATTTAAGAGCAGCAAAGACGTTAAGTTATAGTTATCTTTACATTAAATTTATTTTATATCAAGTTGTCCTTTCCCGGTCTTCAAAGCTGCAAACCTGGCAATCCCTTGATCAAAATCATTATCCTTCGCCGTGTCACTTTCAAGTGATAGTAGTTCCAGATCAGGACGACTTACAAAGCATGTGGTCCTGACAACATTAAACCACGAGTGCTCAAAGAATTAGCCAAAGAAATCGCCCCTGCACTGACAATCCTCTTCCAATCGTCACTATGCACAGGAAATGTTCCAGCAGACTGGAGAACAGCGCATGTCACTCCAATTTACAAGAAAGGGGAGCATTCCGACCCTGCCAACTATCGTCCGATATCCCTCACTAGCGTCGTCTGCAAATTGTTGGAGCACATAATCGTAAGCTCTGTCATGAAGCATCTTGAAAGCAAAAATATACTCAATGACTGTCAACATGGCTTCCGAGTCAATAGGTCATGTGAGACCCAGCTTCTCGAATTTGTAGAAGACTTGATGACCAATCTGGAGAACCACAAGCAGACTGACGTGCTAGTAATGGACTTCGCAAAAGCATTTGACCGGGTGAATCATAGTTTGCTTCTACACAAACTCCAGATATATGGGATTCAAGGCACCACTAAAACATGGATCTCTAGCTTCCTCAGCCACCGACGCCAAGCAGTAGTGGTGGGCGGTACAAGCTCCTCCTTTGTCAATGTGAAGTCAGGGGTCCCCCAGGGATCAGTCCTGGGCCCCTGTTTGTTCCTAGCATACATTAATGACCTACCGGAGAAACTGACATCACAGGCAAGACTGTTTGCAGATGACACAGCAGTGTATAGGACGATCGCCAACAGATCTGACCAGGACCAGCTACAACAGGATCTCAATCTGTTAGCTGAGTGGGAGATGAGCTGGGACATGGAATTTCACCCTGCCAAGTGCCAGACACTATCAATCTCTAGAAGTTGTACTCCTCTACACTACCAATACAAACTGCACGGCCATATTCTTGAGCAAGTTTCCTCCGTAAAGTACCTGGGTGTTACCATTCAAAGAGAGGTCCGCTGGGACGAGCATATTAACAATGTATGTAACCAAGCAAACCAAGCCTTGGGGTTCTTAAGGCGAAATCTAAAGATTGGCAACTCCTGTGTGAAAGAAAGAGCATATAAAGCCTTTATCCGTCCGATTTTAGATTATGCATCTTCAGTCTGGGACCCATTTACCCAGAAGAGCATTGACAGGTTGGAGGCGGTCCAGCGACGAGCAGCACGCTTTGTCCTAAACCGCTACAGGAATACCTCTAGTGTTGGCAGCATGCTAGAAACACTAGGCTGGTCACCATTGGAGAAACGACGACGACAATCCAGGCTCTCCATGATGTACAAGATAAATAATGGGCTGGTCCACTGTTCCAGTATTAAACAGAAACTCGTCCCTCTCCCCCATAGACAGCGACGAGGCCATGACAGGCAATTCAGGCTCATACCAGCAAGAAGCCAGTATAGGAGCTGCTCATTCCTGCCCAAGACAATCAGGGACTGGAACCATCTTTCAAAAGGAACAGTTGAGGCGACAACACTAGACACATTTGTGTCTATTGCCTCAAGCCTTCTAACCCCTAGTGCATAATTTCCTCATCACCACCAGTAACAGAAACATTGCAAATCCCATCTACATGCATAGGAGCCAAAATGATCAATAAATTGATCGTGGGCCCTTAAGATATAGAAGAAGAAGAAATAGTCATTGATAAGCCTTAGTTTTTGAAAAGCTCCGCTCACATGAAGCCACAGACACACCGATCGTAAGAAACAATATTGAAGGCTTAGCGACAGTATTGGGAGAGATTCTAGGAATTCCCAATCAGCTATAAATTTCAAAACATTAAATACTGTCCAGTCCATGACTTGGTGAAATTCAATATCAGCTGCCTTTAGGTGTCTTTTTAAAGTTCATCTTCTGATAACTCATCATAGAAAGAAGTTCATTTTGGGACGGACACCAATAGCTCTGAGATACAAGACTGACAACGCAAGTCTGACATACTTGACCAATTTTTCGGAAGAGAGATTCGTCTGACATTGTGCTCACATTGTACGACGCTGACCTTTTAAGTGGAGAGGGTGAGAATAGCCTGATAGTGGAATAGTCAGCAATACCTTGTTAGTGTCTGGGTCAGCAATACCCTGTTAGTGCCTGGGTCAGCAATACCATGTTAGTGCAAAGGTCAACAATACCTTGTTAGTACGTGCCCGGGTCAGCAATACCCTGTTAGTGCCTGGGTCAGCAATACCCTGTTAGTGCCCGGGTCAGCAATACCCTGTTAGTGCCCGGGTCAGCCAGGAGAATATGACGATTCTTCAAGAACATTTTTGTTGGCATTCACTGATTGTATTACTGTGCATCTGTGAGACTGGGCAGTTGCTTATCGTCATTTATTTAATGGCACGTTCTAAAGCCAAAAGCACCAACAGGAGTAACTCATGTCGATGCCCAGTTAATTATTACTTCAGATCCCGCTCAGGAGGATCGTTTCAACTGAAGTCCTAGGTGGCACGCACATTTCAACACTTCCATTCCATTTGCTTGCTTTCGTCTTGAACTCCCTATATATGTAGGCCAAATTGAAACTAGCCATTTGTCTTGGACCGCCATTTCCCGTGGCGCCCCACCCCCCCCCCCCAAAAAAAATAAATAAATAAATAAAAAATCTTCAAAAACATTTGGCACAAAAAAAAAAGCAACAACAAATAAAACAAACCTCCCCCTTCCCTTTGTATTGCATCGAGAAAAAAATAAAAAAAAGAGACGGATAGGGTTTTTTAGCAGGGACATCATTTGGAAAGCACATGGTGGGACATTTTTCCCCCCCCCCCCCCTGAATTTGCATAAAGCGTAAATTAAGTTAAAATATAAGCAACACAAATTGAGTGCTCTAAATATTTAAGGATACATAAATAATGCTGCTACTCTATCAAAATAGGCTGGTCAAGGCACAGTGGCTTTGTCACTTCACGGTGACAAATTGATGGTGCTGGACTGATGTAACTGGCAGAGTAAAATCCTTAGTGTACTTGTCGACCAGTTGGGATTGTTCACAGTCTTATCCACTGGATACACACATCTCAAGCACGTGGGTAAAGAATGTTATCCCTCCAAGGTATTTACCATGGCAGGTCCTTTATTTCTTATGGCATTCATTTTTATTCAAATGTCTTTTCTTTGCTATAGTAACACTTATGACGTCATGCTCACCTTCCCCATTTTATGTCACATCATTTCCAAGGGTATCCCTTCTTTTAAGCCTATTTAACGGGTGCAGTTCCAGTAGCTAGGATCAGTTTCAGGAGCTAGGGTAAGGTCCAGTAGCTAGGGTCAGTACCAGTA